CTTTATTGAAGACAGAAGTTGACTCTCGTCATTAATAAAGTCTTCTTGTTTAAGCTAAATTGGGAAATAAAATAACTATATTAAAGCATTTGCTTTTAATCAAACCCCAATGTTTAATTTATGTACAAAATCAATTATATGATAATATTACATACATACAATTTTGTATGCTTTGATACGATAGATACATGTATTCTATTTTGAATTTCCTGCAATTATTCCATTTCTAAGACTCAGTTGTTACTTGTAATTGTGAACATTTTATAAAGAAAATGAACAGCAAAGAATATTACTATATCTACAACTTTCATCAACTCTGCTAAAACACCATCAAATATTTCAACGTATTTCTCTTCCACTAACTGAAAAAAAGATTTTAAAAAAATAATTTTTACAAAGTGTAACTGAAGAGGTTATTTACAATGATGTATTATTTATATGTACAGTTAACATAGGGGCACATTCCCAAGTTACCTTGGCACTTCTGTTATTAGAAGATTCTATCAATTTTTCCTGTTTATTCCCAAATAGAGCTTTGATCACCAGTAGTTGGTTTAAATTGTTGCCTCTCTCTCTTGTCTCAGGCGCAAATATTTTATCAAACTTAAAGATACACTTTTCATGGGAATGGATGTTAATCCATACAATAAACTTCTTGGAAAAAAAAGTTTATAAAGCATTTTCCAATTATATCCCTTGGTAAAATTTGACTCCATATTGTGACCCATTTGACCCCATATCTAAATTTGAAAAGGCAAGATTTGAAAAACTTGAATCGTCATTAAATTGCTATTGGGGTATATCAACTATACATTGAACTGTGATCCTTTTTTGTTTGATCAGATCAACTTGAACCCCCCCCCCCCAAAAAAATAGCCAACCCTCATCCAGGGTCCATGTTTTGAACAAACTTAAACCTACATTACATGGGGATATTGACATACCGGTATGCATATATCGGTATGACCGCCTATGATAATGTAAACCTTTTATCCCTCCCAATTTGACCCACCCTGGCTGCTAGGGCCATGGTGTGAACAAATAATTTTAAAAGACTTACTTTAAACATTTCTGTTCTTGAAAAGAATGTTTTTAAGAGTTTTCCTATATAGTTTGACCCATTTTTAAAAGCTCCTCGATCTTTAGGTCGGGGGGGGGGGGGGCATGACAAGAAATCATGGGTAATTTGGTATATTGATATAACCAACACTAGAAACTTGAAAGTTCACTCATTAAAAAGCTTTTACGTTTGTCTTGAATGGTTCAGTGATTCATGTTTTTTAAAAGACAATCCAACATTCACTATTTTTTAATAATATCCCCTTCTGATTAGATGTAGCCTTTCATGGAAATAAACTTAAAATTCCCATCACTCAAAAGTAGTTCAAGCAAAAGTTGACTGAAATTGCCTCTGGTGAGCTAAAAAGACTCTTTTTTGCCTACGTTAGAATTTAGGGCACGCTTAAAAACTAGTGTTATTAGAACGGACACGCATGCTTAAAAGCTACTTTATATTGAAGATTAACTATTGACAGTTATTTTGCTTGTCAACATTTTCTGTTAGCCCCCCCCCCCCCGGAATTGTTGACATACTAGTACCTACAAAGATTTTCAATCATGCATGGTAATATCCTGTAACCCCCCCCCCCCCCAAAAAAAAAAAAAACAGCAACAAAATCATTTGCGGGAAAGAAATTATAAAAACATTAAAATTTATCGTCTGCACACTTGCATATAAGTGTCACGTGCATACTGCATGCAGATCAGATTTTTCTTACCAGGTTTCCTCTAATTCTGTCCAGCATTTTGATTTTGTTGAACTTTCTCGCTACTTTCCCAAACAAAGTTGCTACCGAGTATTGTGACGTTTTATGACGTCTTATATAGTGAAGTCATAGTAAACGTGACGTAACAGTTATTTGATGTTACAAAGGATTTGACGGGCGTGGAACAGATCGACGCGCCCCCACTAAACAAAATGACATGGTCATCTCACCTGAGTCATCTTGCTGTTTCTTTAAATATTTTTTTTTTCTCTTTACACAACTTAAAAGCAGGCAGCTCCAAGTTTATACGGGAATTAACTTTAACAACTCTAACAATTCTTTAAAATACCACAAAATGAAATGTTTTGCAATTTTAAACTTTATGAGAAAATTAAACTACATTAAAACCTAGTATAACATGGTGTTTCGTCGGTAGTTAAACCCCACATAGCACTTATCGATATGACGTCATTTTGTAAAACTTGACGCAGTTTGTATGCAGTGAGAGGCGGATCAAGTAATATTTTCACATCGAAAAAAATCTATTTTATAATTAAATAAAATATTTTTGCAGATATTCAAGAGGCCATAAACTTGGATGCAGTTGTAATTTTTCTGATTTTATTCATTTTCCGTGCATTTCTTAGTTAACTTACAGTTTATTTTCGTATATTTGTTAGCAGATACATTGGAGGGCAATCTGATTAAAATCAGATCCTTTGATCCGCTTACATAGATCGCTACACAAGGGAAGTCGTGTAGCGATCTATGTGAGTGGATCAAAGGATCTGATTTTAATCAGATTGCATTGTAGGTTAATGAATCGTTCTAGTGCAAGGACATACACTCAATGCATTAAAGTAAACATTTAATTACACATAAACTCTAGAAATGGTAAGCTTTTTGAAAAGTGCTGCGATCCTGGTGAAATCTTGAAAATAAATTAATTCTATATTTAGTGCAGTCGACCAGCGAAAAAGTCAGAATGCAGCCATAAAAGGATTATAACAATCATTATGTTTGTTTGTTGATTAACGTCCCTCTCGAGAATTTTTCACTCATATGGAGACGCCACCACTTGCCAGTGGAGGGCTGCAAATTTATACCTATACTCGGCACTTAGTGCCACTGAGCAGTGAGGGATTTTTTTTCTCGTGCCAACACCTACTGCGACACGGGGCCTCGGCTTATTTGGTCTCATCCGAAGGACCAGTCTCCACGTCCCGCAGTGGATTCGAACCTGCGACGTAAAGATCAGCTTTTTACTCCGCGACTCTAGAGCGGACGCTCAAACCACTGCGCCACGCGGGCGACGATTTTAACAATGAAATAGTACAATCTATATAGGATTGTAGGACTTTTTTGTCCCCCGCTTTCACTGAAAGTGGGGGATATTAATTTCGGTCTGTCTGTCCGTCCGTCTGTCTGTATTTCTGTTTTTCTATAACACTTTCGTTTACGCGCGATATCTCGCGAAGCCTTTAAGCTTTCGCAATGAAACTTTTACGTAACAACTTCCTATGGCCTAAAGAAGACCCCTATTGATTTTAAGGCCAAAAGGTCAAGGTCATAAATTCAAATATTCTCTCTTTTACCACTTTCGTTTCCGCGCGATGTCTCAAGAAGCCTTTGAGCTTTTGCGTTGAAATTTTACATAACAACTCTCTGTGGCCTAAGGAAGACCCCTATAGATTTTGAGGTCAAAAGGTCAAAGGTCAAGGTCGTAAATTCATACATTCTGTCTGTGTGTAACACTTTCGTTTCCGGTCGATATTTCAAGAAGCTTTTGCAATGGAATTTTTATATTATAACATTCTATGGCCTCTCTCGCCCCTCCCAAACACAAAGTGCCCCGCCCCTTTTTTATTGTATTAAAAGTCGCGTGGTACTAGTTTTAGCACATGAGCATGTGGAGAGTCATTACACATAATACAGGTTGTCGGTGGACTTTATATTCTTATTACATCTATTAGAACTGTTAAGTTAAGGTTAAATTAGACACCATGTGTTGTGTAAAATTTTGACAATATCGAACGTGAATATAAACATGTATATGTGACCTGATGTTTGCATTTAATTTGCTTCAACCGCAATCGCCTCGTTGGTCTATGGGTGTGATTCTTGCTTAGCATAAGAGAGGTCCCGGGTTCAAATCCCGTACGATTCCGTATTTTCTTTCTTTTTTTTTAATTTTTTTTTTTTTTTGATTTACTAAATAATAGTATTCAACATACATGTATATGAAAGAAAGAAGTTATGACGTCTGGCGTGTACAAACTTTCTCATTAAATTATTATTACGGTGATAAATATTTTATATATAAAGAATCTTCTGTACACATAATAAAGAATAAGCAATCAAATCTATATATCCATACTGGCATTCTTTATTTGCTTCAGTATACATGTATACATTTAATAATTTTGCAAATCCAAGGGGGAGGGGGGTCAGCCCCCCCCCCCAGATCTCTAGATCTGCGCAGCGCATGCTCTTCTTTTTTCCTTAAGCGGGGGACACCAATTCTCTAAATTAGCTTGTTGAATCTACAATGGGTGTTGATTTATATTGTATTTATAAATTAAACTTAGAATTTTAAATAAGACATACCGGTATCCTGGTCCTATTGTTCTTGAGAAGAATTTAAAGATTGTGTTTAATGTAGAATCTTGATCTTCTACCGTGGAACCCAGCAGAGACTGTATTAAACTTGAATTAATCTATACTACCTGTGAATGTTTGCCTATACTCAGTAAATGTAACTAGTTCTTGGTCCCGCTATTCTATTTCTGAGCTTTCACATGCTTAATCTTTTTTGGGGCCCAGTGGTTCTTCAAATGTTTTTAAAGACATAGATCTACCCTATGCGTTAGTTCAGTTCTTCTAGAGAAGTCGAAAAAAAACTTACAGACGGACAGCTATAAATGTTGACATTCTTACTCAAATCTGTAAAATGATTCAGAACAATGGAATATGATTCCTGAAGAATTGTATCGTTATGCATTACATTTCAAGTTATATAATAGGATCTTTTATAAGCTGTCTTGGCTACCTTGGGTACAAGACTGACAGTCCATACCATCAGACTGTTCAAAAGGCACCGCCCTTTGGTACCCAAGGTAGTCAGGCCAACAAGTTAAGTTTTCCTTCTGTAAGCTGTCTTGGTTGCTTGGGGTACAAGACCGAGCAAGCTGGTTCTTCTTAAATACATATTGCCAGACTGTTCAAAAGGCATCATCCCTTGGTACCCTATGCTGCCAGGCCAGCAATATATATATATTCTCCACCTCTCCATATATAATTTGTAGAGCCACAAACTGATCTGCTTTGTCATACTTTCATTATGACAGTAGTTTTATGATTACTTGCTTACTGTAACTACTGCTTTTTAACCTAGTCTGTTCATTGAAGTGTACAACAGTTTGGTTTTCCTTTATATTGCATGTGATGCTTATATTTCATTGTATGAACCATACCAGTAATTTAATTTAATTGTAAGTTGAGAACACTTGCAAGTGAGGATCAGGTCAATACTGCACCCAATGCAACCATTACTTGTTATAATCATGATTGTATTGTTTTTAATTGTACATGCCCCTTGAGGGCCCTTGATTGGTGAATAAACATCATCATATATAGACAGACGGCGGACAAAGTATGATCAGAATAAGCTTATATGTGAGCTTTCATCTTGAATGAGCTCTAATGAGAGGGGAGAGATGAACAAAGTCTCACTTGTGAACACTGTTGATTTTCTGGTTTGATTTACAGGGTGCAGTTAGTGAGTTTTTAGATAATGATAATAATGCCAGAAAATACCGAAAATGCATGCGCAGGTACCCATATCAGAGACTTCCAGGAATCGGTCAAGCCCCTCCCCCAACCCATCCCACCCCTGCAGACTCTGTTGTGATGCACTATTTGCGAGGTGCTGAAGCGGGCTTTTTTGTCAAACCAAAAGTCAGTTTCAAAATGACGCCTTTGGTGTATTGTGTGTTCTCTTTACACTTGTCTTAATAGGATTTAAAATTCAATCATGTCATAATGCAGCAGTTTTTGAAATATCTTATTTCTTTGTTTTTATATTTTATAAACTTAGATAAAATACATGGATTATGTAACACACATATAGAGCTAGATAGACTTTACTGTCGTCATAAATGAATTACATCTTGGCGTATCTTGATTCCAAACTATGGTACAGAAATTAAGACGATAAATATCAAACCGCAACTTTGTGAAGAAAAAAAAAACGAGATCAGAATGGTTACATCTAGATACAAAGTATACATGTAATAAGAAAGCGTGTAACTTACCAGCGTTTTTCTAATGCTTTCCAGCATTTTGCCGATTTTCTTGCAAAGTTGCTACGGCGTATTGTGACGTTTTAAGATCTCTGTGTAGTGACGTCACAGAGGTCATTGTAATGAATATTGGTTGTGACGTTAGCACTGTGTGTATAAAATGTGAGCCTAGAAAAATCCTCGGTGATTTTTATTTGGACTTTGTAAAAAAGGATGTTCCGATTAATTAAAGTAAACTTCATTTCAATAAGTAATTAATTTTGTTTTATTGACGATAAAATTTGATAACCGCACAAGGATAATGATATATGATTATTTTCGAGCAGCTTAATTCTATTTTCAATAAACTTGGTTGTCACTATATTAAATATAAAAATAGAAATCGGTATAATTTAATTTCGTTTGTATTCTAGCCTCTGATTGGTTAATATCCAAAAAGGAACACAAATTATTTCTGTATAATCTGGTTTGGTATGGGGACACACCCCCCTGACAACCAGCTGAATCATCTGTATCCTTTCCAGTCCTCGGGATTCATGGAAAATTCCAGATTTAATAAATGTACCTTTAACTTCAAACAACAATTCGATCTTACCACATGCAAACAAACAACATGGCTGCTAGGCCTATGTATCAGTTTTTACCTCCCCTCGCTTCCCATCACTTCCGTTACTACGGTTGTATTATTGAGCGGCAAATTTGAACTAATGAAAAGCAACGAAATTTTAAACCCCTAGTTATTTAATGATTTTAAAATTAAATTATAAGGAATGACTCTAATTCTTGGTCAAATTATTCGAGTATAACCTGGTTTGGGTCAGTTTACGCTGTTTTATAATCCGCTTCGCCAGGTTATACTCGAATAATTTGGCCAAGAATTAGAGTCATTCCTAAAGTAACTGAGTTGTACCAAATTTTGTTTATTGGTATGAGTTCCTTATAACTTTTAACTTTGTTTGTAAATGTACACAAACGTTAGCTTACTGAAGTTTTATTAAAATTGGTGCTAAAATTCAACCCTCTGTCCCCTTAATAGAGAGAGAGAGAGAGAGCTGGATCTTTTCCCTGTATACTAAGAGAAACTTTTTTTTCAGGTAAATTTAATTTTTTATAACTCTAAATCTTCGTAAATACAACTAAAGGTTATATTAGAGAAAACGAATTTTAATGGAACATATCTGGGGGAAAAAAACTCTCTTTTAAGCTATGTGCTTTTGTTTGTCTGTTAAGTGCCTATTGATAAAAATGTACAACTACCACTTGTCGCAAATTCCTCTTTCATGCGTGTCTGATTGGGAAAAATTCATAAACATTTATCCTCTTAGTCTTCAATGCTGGCACTACTCTCCGTAATATGAGTACAGATTCATAAAGTAGATGTTATATATGTACCATACTTAAGAAAAAACCTTACCGATCTGACAATAGCATAAAATGCGCTTGGACCGAGACATTTTATCACTTCAACTTTTGTTAAAACATTTGCTAGTACGTATAGTTCTCCCATATAGATACAAGATATAGAAAGCGTATAACATACCAGAGTGTTCCTGATGCTTTCCAGCATTTTGCCTGTATAAATTTGTTTTCTTGCAAACTTTTCCAAAGTTGCTAACGGTATGTACGGGGTAGATCAATTATGACGTTACACGATTTTTGTGTCTTGACGTCATAAAGGTTAAAATAATGATGTGACGTACAAGGTCTATGTACATGTAGTATTTAGCACAGATAAAACAGAAAATAGTTTTTTTTTTGCTCAAAGTTAAGGAGGGATTCTTGTATGGTTTCTGACTAAATGAAATAATCGAAGTATATTTGCTTAAGTGTTAATATATATCAAATAAATTTTCCAAACAAACTACAATCTTGTTAGCTTTTGAAAACTTCCAGTCTAAGTACAGAATTGAGCAAAAATTCAGTAAAAAGTGTTTTTTTTCCCTCTTAGTAAATGGTCAAAACTGTTTTGTTTTTGCATCATTTTTATCTTTATATGACTACTTTACCAAATGTGAAAATAAGAAAAATTTCAATATACGAAGCTTATAAAAAAACTAATATATTCTAAAAGTTTAAGGGAAATAGAGCAAATTCGGATTAGCGAATTTCTACTTTTGTTAAATTATTTATGCCAATTTGGATGTATCTTCTGATAGACCCTATATGGTAACATCTTTTTATGCAAGAAGAAAAACATTTAATCTTTTGAAATAAAAGTAGGCATCACATGATTGGCAACAGTAATTTTTTATTCTTAATGTCAAGGAAAAAGATGATGACCTTTACCTGACCTTGCTTCTAAATAAAACCGTTAAATTTAATCTAATTGATACCATCGCCTACTTATGATGTCTTCTTGAACCTATGAAAATTTCATGAATTTAAACACAAGAAATATGAGAAGAATCCCTCCTTAATAAATAATTTAATGATTTTCGAGCAACTTTAAATTTATTGATGATGATAATTTATTAAATACTGCAAGTTTTATTTACATTGACAGGTCTACATGGGTGGCTGGGGACTTACTGGAATAGCAACCTTCCTCCAATGAAAGAGAGAGAATTAAATAGCGAATTAATTCCTAGACTTTTTAAATATCATCATATTATGTTTTTCTTTTTCTAGAATATCAAATATCATAGTATACATCTTATACTTTGCAAAATGTTTGATTGGTTGGATATATCGGATATATCCAGTTTGACGTGGATAACCACATTCTTTATTTCGAACTGGTACAAATACTAAAGGCCCGTAGCAACGGTTTCAAAAGTTAGTTTAAACCATATTTTATTTTAAAAAAAAAAAAGCAGAAAATACAGATACAGATAAGTAGTACAGAAAAAAAATCAAAAAGGATTCGGAAACAAGTTTGAAAACTTATACTAATCCGTTTCCTTATTATTACGATTAAGATGACAGACCCTTATTAGATAGTTACATAACACGGTTTGAAGCTGCTTAAAAACTAATATTTGAAAATGACATACATGTTACGTTGGGGGAGGGGGGCAACTTCCCCAAAAACTCTGACGAGCAAAAAAAAAGAGCTAATTCAATTTTGAAATTTGCCAGTGCTCGATCTTTAAAACATCAAAAAGTGGGGGGGGGGGACAATCAGCATCTAAAGGAACATTTACTATAGCAAAATACTATGCTCAGAAAAAAAAGTTCCCAATATTTAGGAATACCGCATGAACACTCAATATGTGTCCCGAGAGATTGGTGTTCCTAGCATATTCATTTACGCTTTCTCAGTAAATGATGTCGTAGAAAATGTATGAGGTTATCTAGGTGCAGGTCGAAGGTTAAGAAGGTTAAGACTACAGTCTAACCAATCACAAATCCTTACATTCCAGTGGAGGAAGATGAGGACATGATCTTCAAGATTGATATACAGTATCAAATTAATAATGCAATTGATCGTAAAGAAAGCGACGATGATGACAAATAATATGGGTTTTCAATACTGATAATCTTGTGGACAGTGAAAACAGCTATTTCGTGTGCCACAATACTCTCTTACCTTGCTTTGTTTTATTTATGAGTTAGAAGTATTCTTTTCCCTCCTTGGTCAAATGTAACACTGTTAATTCAAACCTCAGTACTGTTAATTCAAACCTCAGTAACTGTTGTGTACGAGTATTTGCCTTGCAGTATTTATGTAATTTAGATACTTTGGAAGTGGAAATTTTCTTTCTCAATGTACTCAGGGCGTGTTGTCTGTTAGTATTAACTAAGTATTGTACATGTAACTCTATCTACGTTATTCAATTCATAATCTTATCAGTTTTATTTTTGGCTGAAATGGCACCCAGTGGTATTCAAATATGGAGAATCATTGATGTAGTATTAAGTTTCCTTGTTTATTTTTGTTATTTCTTCTTGTTATATATTCATTTTTACATGTACTTTGTGGGGGGCAACAATACATTCCCCACAATCGCTCGTTATAGCCCTCTTCAGGGTTGTGGTCAATCAATTTTTGTTATTATTTTCATATTCTTGCTATCATAGGGTTTATTCTTGAAAGCAAGAGTATTAAATATTAAAGATAAAAACAGGCAATATCATCTATTAGCAGTGGCCGTTGGCATGCGTTAGCAGTAAGCAGTGAACAGTAGGAAGAAAGCAGATGGCTGTCGTATATGGAATTCCATATTACCAAATGTTAAAAAAAACTTACAGAAACAAGTGCCTGTGCTCACAGGCACCTGACACACGAATGGTTTAATCCCCCCCCCCCCCCGCTTCTGAGAATTTTTATTACACGCAAAAACTTATCAAAAATACATAAATTCCTAGTCTATCACTCCTATATTTCGAAATCTGATATCATTTTCCGACTTTGTTAATAGTCTAGAGGGGTAGACCTCATTTACAGAATTACATGGGGAGCGTTTTCTTTAACGTTCTAGAAGACTTAAAATGTGATCGGGTTCGGAGTTCCTCTACAAGAGAGAAAGTAGGCAGCCGAAACATAAACAATAAAAAACATGAACAAAAAGAATTGCAATAAGCAGTTTGTGGTGGTTGGGAATCCTGATAAGGAAGATACCAGACCTTTTGTTTGGAGATGTTTAGATGAAATAGGTAATAGAGTCGAAAAACTTCGAGAAGATGCTGCAAAATTGGAAACAGAAAGAGAAGTTTTACTGTCAATGTTACAAGGAATTCAGGACAAAACTAGTCATAATATGCCGGAGGTAGAAGGTAGAGTACTTTCTAGTAAGATTCTGGTCGTATTAATTAACCTTTAAATGAATGAAAGTACATTTGATTTTTTTTCTTGGTGGGTTTATTTCATTATATGATAAACTGACACATTTGATCTAGAAAATTCTAAATGAAAAAAAATCGCATCTTAGTGATGATCAATATGTTGACTGATCAATTTGAAGTATTTTTGTTCTGCATAATTTGGAGAAAATACATTTTAAGGCTAGTAATGGTCACTAGTGGACTAGTGGTGATCGATGTGTTATAGCTAGGTTTAAAACTGCCCTCCTAAACAGAGAACTTATAGAACTCTATAGAACATAAGAGAACTCTAGCTGTATTCAGTAAATTCTAATTTAAATATTATGCATAATGCATAACCGAGTTGATGATAACTTAATATATATCATATTCTATTAGATAAATTGATAACAATGTTAGTTTGGTGATGTTGGATACAGAATTTGTTGATGTACTATAGTCAATTTAGAAAACGCTGATAAAATATTTTTAGGAGAAAAATGACTAATATAATTAAGAACTGTGAACTTAAAAGAGAATGCTCTCATGAGATTTTTTTTCCAACTCTAGTAGAAAAAGAAGATATTGAAGCCATGGCTGAGAGACTTGTTTGCCGATGTCTTACTGTGGAAATAGGTGTAATAACCCCAAGAACTGAAGAACAAGAGGCAGCATTAAACAAAGTGAACAAACTAATGCATGATATTGAACATCAATTTACTGTTGACATTGAAAAGTCACTCCCTAGAGCTATTTCTTACTTAAATGCTTGTCTCACAGAACCTATGGAGGGCCACATAGATCACAGGTTTCAAGGAATGGTTATTGAGTGTACTATAGATGATCAGAAAAAAATCAAGAGGAGACTTCAAAGTCTAGTTGAGATGTATAACAATTCAGAGGAATTGAATAAATGATAACTCGGGGCTTATTGTATATTGTTTAAACTTGTACTTCCTGCTGTTCTGAAATTAGCTCAATAGGTTACATGATAAAAAGTAGTAACTGTATTTTCTTACTTTAGTTTTCTTAAAGATTAAAAAGTATTATCTGTATAACTACTGTATATTCTTCCTTAGTTTGTTTACATATATCATGAATGCTGGTTTCTGTACATGTTAGTAGATTGATGTGGTAAAGCAGCTGTCTGGAGCTTCGTGTACTTTATAATAGAGAATTACATAACATTACTTTTAAAGTATTGTTATTACAGTTGTTCCCCTTTAATTGTAGACTCGTTGAACAATGCTTCATCATGTAATGTTACAGATTAATTTTTTTTATTGTTAATAATGCTTGAGTGCTTTTTATTCAAGTGTAAATTCCACATATTATACAGTTTGGTTTATGGTTGTTACACTTGTGTCCATTTTGAGCACATGTAGTAAATGATCTCCACAACACAGAGATAGGATACAGGATAATTTCATATGAAATTGTTTGTTTGGTTTTTTTTTTAAATCATCTTAAATATTCTTCATACTTATCATCTGTATATATTTACCTCATATTTCACCTTATTTGTTTGCTTAATTGCTAGTCCATGAAATTGTAACCAATGATTTTATTATACCTTGTACATGTAATAATTTGGGAAATAAAACTAACTCATGACAAAATCTTTAAACAATCTGATGTGTAGTAATTGCACTCTGGGTAATTTAGTATCATATGTATAAATTTTATGAAGATGTATTACATTGTTATTGTGTTTTCAAAGGCTGATCCACAAGTAAAAAAAATTAGCACAAAAATGAACCAAAAAAAAATTACCTAAAGCTTATATTGAAATTTTATATAATATTTAGGCATTTTCTCTGAATACATATGGTATTCAAAATTTAGTGAAAGCAGACTATTTCATGCTCTTGTGAACAATAGCTAACTTGTTACATTATCTCTATGTATGTTTCAAATTTGTTCTGGTGTTATCAATAAACACACAAGAGATTTGCATCAAAATATAAACCCAGCCAAAATAAGTACTCCTACAGGATTCTAAGGGTTTGTTGGTTAAAAGGAGAAAGAAATGAGCCATGGAGGGATATATGGTAGATGAATTATACTGTAAAAACTTGTGAGAAATATAATGCTTGATCTGACCAACATTAAGTCCTTAATGTTGGTCAGATCAAAGGTGGAGGTGATATAGAAAGTCTTTTGACATCTTCAGAAGCTTTCTGGGGCTTCAATTTTTTTGTTTGTTTTTTGCTCACCTCTACGAAGTCTAGGTGTGTTTATGCTATCCTTGGAGTTGGTGATGTGTTTTAGAAGTCCATTTCCAAGTAACTAGATACCTTAACTGAACCAAGCTTGCATAGATGATGTATCCAGCGATGCATATTATCAGACTTGCTTGAGATGCTGGATCTGACCTACATTTTCTAGATGAGTGTCCTGGTTAAAGTATGGAACAAGTCTGTTTAAATAAATAACCATAAGTCCTACCTGCACCAGACTTGTTTAGATGATACATCCAGGAATGCAGATTGATTATTTTAGATAAAAGGACTTGCAAGTTTTCTCTTGTGATTTTAGATCTTTGTTAACAGCTAAATTAGTAACAAATTACTGTCATCATTATATTCATGTAAGAGGATGTAGATGATTAAGGAAGACTGTAAGTGCTCAAGTTTTCTTACATTTGATTAGGAAACATGAAATATAATTATTTTACTCCGTGATCTCCTCTCTGTGATTTAGATTACATTGTAAACTTTCTCTTCATAAATGATTTCCTTTTTCTAAAGATTGAGAGTACAATATTTCCCTTTGAAAATGATTTTTTTTTTTTGAATTAGCTAGAACTTGACTGAACTCTTCTGAACAAAGTCTCTCTGTTGTCCATCAGTTTGTTAATTATCCTTGGAGTAAGCATATTCTAGTTTGTTCAAATGAAGAACCATGCGCACTTCCAAGGAGAGAATTTCATCAAAGAGAAGGTCCACAGTAAATCAGATTAGTAAAATTACCAGTAACATTCTGCAGAAATAATTATCCATGTAATACCCATAATATTGTGAAGCAACAACAGGAGACAATGTTTTACTTGGAAGCCTTTAGGACCTATCAAAAATATTTTTGAATTCAATATATTTTGTGTGACCATATTTTTGTAGGACAGCATTATTGCCTTTGTTGTCAGTGAAAAAATATAAAGAATGTATAATTTTGTCACATGCAGTATATTCATGCAAGCATTCACGTACATGTGTGTGAGTTCTTTATACCCAAGTATATAGGTGTCGGAAGCAAATTGAAAGTGGGGGGGGGGGGGCTAAACCCACGAATAAAGGTAAGCCCCAATTTTCAATGCCTATATTATGTCTATCTTTGCAAAAAAAGGGGGGGGGGCTAATCCCCCCCTATCCCCCAGGTTCCGACGCCTATGAAGTATACTTAGTGGAGTTAGTTAAGCAAGCCTCGTAATGATTAGGAACAAGGGTAAAGGTCGGACCATTCAGTAGTTGTTTTAGAATTGAAATTTAATTCTTTTGAAAGAGGGAATGGACTCTGGAAATTTAACAACAGCTTATTAACAGATGAAAATTTTATCACAAAGGTTAAAGAAACCATTAAAGAAGTTTGAAGAAAATATTTGCAGGATGAGGACAGTCAAGTTTTTCAATACACTGAAAATATTAATGATAGTTTGTTTCTTGACGTTCTTTTGATGGAAATCAGGGGGGTTACAATTTCTTATTCCTCTTGCAAAAAAAAGAGAAAGAGAAAAATTAGAAAATAGATTTGATGAAAGAATTAAAACATCTAGAAAATAATAATGATTTCAACATGAAATTGTTAGAACAGAAGAAGTTAGCTCTTGAAAATAAAAGAAAGGAAAAATTAGAAGGACATATTATAAGATCTAGAGCAAGATGGGTCGAGGAAGGAGAAAAACCTAAAAAATGCTTTTGTAATCTTGGAACACGAAATTTTTTAAATAAAATTATAAAAAAGGGTTGAATCATGGAATTCCATATACGACAGCCAACTGCTTACTGCCAGTTGCTCACTGCTTACTGTCAACTGTACACTGTAAACTGCTTACTGCCAACTGCCACATATATTTGAACGAATTTTCATATTTATATAGATATTTATGTGAATTTTCCATAAAATATGACTAAGTGATATGATATTATTGATATGTCTTTAATTTGGTAAAACATATGTTTTTCACTATAGAAGTCAACGGAAAACGGACATTTATTTTCAACCCCCCCCCCTTTTCGTGAAACGACAATTCCTTTTTACAGGCATTATGAATTGTTATTTCTCAAATTCATACCAAAGGTTGCCCCCCCCCCCCCCCCACTGAAATTGCTTCCTTGGTTAAGATCAACTGTTTTACATTTAGTAAAATGCCTTGTACTATGATTTTTAAATTAGTATTTCTGATATAAATGCATATACCAACAAATATTATCGAAGTTCCTATTAAAAGTTTGCCCCCCCCCCCCCATTTTTCTGACGGATATACATGTACTTACCATTAATCTCTCCCTCGTCAAAAAAAAACAACAACAACAAAACGATTGAATTATTTGCCTGCCAGGAAATTTGGAAATTATATGTTTTGTATATTAGAGGAAATACTCTTTCTTCCTATTAATTCCTTCCTCGCCTCACCGTTTAAAAATTCCTGAATCCGCCAATGTTTGTTATTATTGTAATCTATCATAGGGTTTATTCAATTAACCATGCGTATTAAAGATATTGAAGAAAACCAAACAAGCAGTAACACCTATGAGCAGTGACAGTTGGCAGTAAGCAGTTGGCTGTCGTTTATGGATTTCCATATTGAACTGAATGAAAATAATATCATATATGATCAATCTGAAATATTGAATCAAGTCAAAAAGTTCTATCAAGGTCTATATTCAAATACAGACTCTGAACTGATTGATATTGATTTAGAAGAAATTATTACTTCAACTGAAATTCCAAAATTAGATAAAAATACCACTATTGGTTTAGAAAAGAATATCGAAGAAAGTGAAGTATTACAAGTTTTAAAAAATATGAAAAATGATAAATCTCCTGGAAGTGACGGTTTCACAACAGAATTCTTTAAATTCTTTTGGCGTGATCTTAAAGTTTACATTATGCAGCAATAAATTGTATATTATCTAAAAAAAAAAAAAAAAAAAAAAAAAAAAAAAAGAACTTCCTGTTTCACAAATACTAGGGATAATTTCATGTATATCCAAAGGGGATAAATCAAGAGAATTTCTCTACTAAATGTATGAGGCGCCGTTTTGGTATTTATTGCCATATATTTACATTTCCAATGTCTTTGTCCTAGATAAAATTACAAATTGTAAAAATATTTTATTTCTACATAAATCTACTGGTTCATCGATAGGCGCGGTTAAAAAAAATCACGTGCGGGGCGGGACAAATAGAGACAGAAGCGGGGTTATTAGCACGGGAATTTGCAGAATCAGGAGCATGTAAATATAAGGAATAACTGTCAGATTTTTTGGATTCATGACGATGATCAATCGATTGGCTTGCGTGATAATTTTATGCATAAACGCCTTCGGCGTTCATGCAAATTATCACGCAAGCCACTCGATTGATCACATCATGAATCCAAAAATAAGACAGTTATTCCTTAATTAGCGATATCTCTTATTCGAATAGGTGATATCAATTTTTGGCAGTAAATACCAAAACGGCGCCTCATATAAATGTGCTTTATAAACTCATATCAGGATGCCTAAGTTACAGAATAAAGTCTACTCTGGATCTTTTGATTTAAGACACTCAAACTGGATATATATTGGTGAGAACACCAGATTTATATATGATTTAATGGCATATACAGAAGCTTAAAATCTGCAAGGATTGTTAGTTTTAACAGACTTTGAAAAAAGCTTTTGATTCAATTTCATGTCCTTTATTTATAAAGTACTGAAATATTTTGGTTTTGTAAATAATATTATACCGTAATTAATTGGATAAAAAAATTTTAATACAAATTTTAAGGCATCAGTTTTGCAATGTGGATTTTTATCTGAACAATTTGATATTCAAAGGGGTTGTAGACAAGGGGATCCTGTTCCTCCAAACCTGTTTCTTCTTTGTGCTGAAATTCTAGATATCCTAATAAAACAAAATAATGATATAAAGGGCATTGTTGTAAATGATAAAGAACATAAGATTTCTCAATATGCTGATGACACGTCGCTGGCTCTTGATGGCTCACCAAAATCATTATTTGCTGCTCTTGAAACCATTGACTTTTACTCTAGATTATCTGGATTAAAAATAAACAGTTCTTAGACAAAAAATGTATGGATAGGCTCCAAAAAATTTTCTAATGAGGTGTTTCATCATTCTATATGGAAACTTGATTGGGGATGCATAACCTTTAATCTACCTGAAATAAATTTTTCTGTTGAACTTGATAAAATAAATGAAATTAATTATGGTAGTATAATACCCAAAATTAAAGCATTAATACAACACTGGGAACGGAGAATGCTAACTCCCACTGGTCGTGTTACAGTTGTTAAAACTATTCTTATTCCCAAATTAAATCAACTTCCTATTTATATATTTTTTTATGTTTTATATCATTGCCAACACCAAAACCAGAAGTAATTGCTTCTCTTTGTCAAGATGTTTTTGAGTTCATTTGGAAATCAAAGCGTGATAAAATTAATAGAGTTACTGTTACAGTAACTCAAGATTATCTATCAGGGGGGCTTAAAAGCGTCAATATTAACAAATTTATAATGGCCCTGAAATGTTCTTGGATTAAAAGATTGTCAAATAATGGTTATAATAAACCATGGATGGACTTATTCATTGCTGTAAATGGCAATGACATTTTAAATAAGTTATTCGACTTTGGGGATGATTTTATTTCCAAAATTTTAAGGGAATTAAAAAACAATAAATTCTGGCAAGATGTTTTTACTTCTTGGCTTGAAGTTATAAAAACCCTGAACGATTCACTTTCATATAATATTCAAAAATGTATAGCTATTACGAATTTCCACATAGAAAAATTTGAAAAAGAGTGGGCCTTGTGGAAGAACATATTTCAATAAGTTTAAAATTGTTACATTGTTTGCTATCATACTTAGAATTTTAAAATTGTGTCTTAAAATCAACTTAAGAGTAGTAAATATGTACATGTATTTCAAGTAAAGTTGTGGTTATATATATGTACTATAGATCTTTTTCGACCATTTGCCATTATTATTATCATATAAAGAATGATTTTGTATGTAAGAGAGTAAGTGTCTGTGAGTGAAAGTGATTAAAATGTAAAAAAAAAAAAAAAAAAAAAAGAGCTCATAAATTGTCTCATTTGCATACTTGTAATGATATTGGGCATGTAAACAAGATGCCCATGGGCCACATCGCTCACCTGAGCACATTGGCTAGGCAAAAGCACAAATCAGTTCAGTATTGAAAAGATTACCCGAGGGGGGGGGGGGGTTACTTGAGAAGATTTAAAAAAAAATTCCCATATATTCCTTTGTAAAAATTTGATCCCCCATTGTGGTTCCTCTCTATCCCAGGGGTCATCATACGAACTTGAATCTACACTACCTGAGAATGCTTCCATATCAATATGACTAAACATAGCTTTCCTGTACTTGAGAAGAAATATTTTTTCTATATGTTCTTATGTAAAACTTTCGATCCCCCAATGGGCCCCACCCAACCCCTGGGGGTCATCATTTGAACAAAATTTTATCTACACTACCTGAGGATGCTTCCATATCAAAATGACTAATCATGGTTTGCAGTTCTTCAGAAGAAGATATTTTCCTATATATTTCTATTTAAGACTTTGTGGCCCCATCCTACCCACGGGGGTCATGATTTGAACAAAATAGAATCTACACTACCTGAGGATGCTTCCACATAAATATGATCAATCAGGGCTTTGCTGTTCCTGAGAATAAGATTTTTAAAATTTTTCCTATACATTTCTTTGTAAAACTTTGATCCTCCATTGCGGCCCCATCCTACCCCCGGGGGTCATGATCTGAATAAATTTGAATCTACCCTACCTGAGGATGCTTCCATATAAATATGAACAATCTGGGCTTTGCTGTTCCTGAGAAGAAGATTTTTCATATATATTTCTATGTAAAACTTTGATCCTCCATTGTGGCCCCATCCTACCCACGGGGGTCATGATTTGAACAAAATAGAATCTACACTACCTGAGGATGCTTCCATATAAATATGACTCATCATGGCTTTGCTGTTCTTGAGAAGAAGATTTTTAAAGATTTTTCCTATATATTTCTATGTAAATTTGATCCTCCATTGTGGCCCAGCCCTACCCCCGGGGGTCATGATTTGAACAAACTTGAATGTACACTACCTGAAGATGCTTCCACATGAGTTTCATCTTTCCTAGCCCTATGGTTCTTGAGAAGAAGATTTTTAAATGATGCATTTATTTTTTCACTAATTCTTAATTATCTCCCCTTGAAAGAGGGCGTGGCCCTTGATTTGAACAAACTTGAATCCCCTTTACCCAAGGATACTTTGTGGCAAGTTTGGTTGAAATTGGCCCAGTGGTTCTGGAGAAGAAGATGAAAATGTGAAAAGTTTACAACAACGACGACGCCAACGACAATGACGACGACGACAGACAACGGACAAATTTTGATCAGAAAAGCTCACTTGAGCCTTTGGCTCAGGTGAGCTAATAAAAAAAAAGCATATGATTTTTTAGAAAAAGTCAAAGGTTGTAAATTTGTTGAAAATGTTGACACATTACATTCAATAGAAAAGGTTGCTTGAGTTATGGCTTAGATCAGGTAAAAATTGTTTTAGGAGGTTTAAAACAAGAGACCCATGGGCCACATTGCTCACCTGAGTAACTTTGGCCCTGCTGTTCTTCACCAGATTTCCCCCCTTGGAATACCTATTGTGGCCCCTCCCTGGGGGTCATGATTGAACAATTAAGAATCTACACTACGTCAGAAAGCTTCCAGATACATGTAAGTTTCAGCTTTTCTGGCCCAGTGGTTCTTGAGAAGATATTTAAAGGTTTTTTTCTTTATATTTCAAAGTAAAACTTGGATTCCCTATTGTGGCCTCACCCTATTGTGGCTCCATCCTTCTCCCGGGGGTTTTGATTTTAACAATTTAGAATCTACACTTCCCCAGGATGCTTCCATATAAGTTTCTGCTTTTCTGGCCCAGTGGTTCTTGAGAAGAAGATTTTTAAATGAACCTACCATATATGTTCTTTTCTTGATTACAATATCTCCCCTTGTAAAGGGGATTGACCATTCATTTTGACAATTTAAACTCCCCTTCACCCAAGGATGCTTTGTACCAACTTTGGTTAAAATTGGCCCAGTGATTCTTCATCAGAAGTTAAAAATGTGAAAAGTTTACAGACGGATGGACAAATGGACGGACAATGGGTGATCAGAAAAGCTCACTTCAGCTTTCAGCTCAGGTTAGCTACAAACCCTAATAACTTCTGTTTGTTTGTTTGCTTTACATCCACTGGGATGCCACCAATTGTAGGAGGGATACTGCAGATTTAGACCTGTACTGATTAAAAGTGAGTGATCTTTTTCATACAAGCATCTGTTGCAAGATGGGACCTCCATTTATACTGTGTCATTCAAAGGACCACAGTTGGATGGGAACCCACAATATAAGGATCAACTCCACAACTCTAGAATACTCTGCAACTCTGAAATATACCGCAACTCTAGAATGAAGCAAGACCTTTGCTCCTACCACTGTGCCAAAAAGGGCAACCTAGCATTTTACGAGTTAACAACCTGGAAGTTAATAAATTTAGCATCCATACATCCACAAAATTCTTTCTAATACCAGAGTCTGAATTTTTTTTTTGAAGAATATATACATTCAGTTTCAGAAAGAAGGATGATCAAGAGGCTATGCATGATGCAACAGCAAGAATGGTCAACAGTTTCAAAATATGTCCTAGGATCTACTCTTGTGATAATCTATATATGTTAAATTATAGTTCTATGAGGGCTACAACTGTGGAACTTTTATATTTGGTATCTCTACAAGGTTGTATCCCACATTCCATTGTTTTATTATATGTGTATGGGAAAAAAACTACATAAAAAAAATAAGAACAAAAATCATACTCATTACCAATTTTATTTTTATAATGCTAGTTATAATATATACCTGTGATTTTATTTGGATCACATTTGTGGTCATTTACTTGGTATAAAGTTGGACAAATTCATGAGATATATCATCATGAATGATATGAAGCATTAAAACATGCAGTAAAAAATCTTGAATTATTAAATCAGAGAAAATTCAGTACATCTCAAACTCTATCTGATTCATGTAAATAAAGCAGTCTCCCTTTTGTATGAAATTATGTAAGTTAATGTAAATGCAATTTTAAAAAGCAAAACAATTCAAAAGCACATATCAAGTACACATATGGGTATATGTACCTTACATCACAAATCAGTATGGATTATTCATTACTAAATTCAGAAAATTTATGTGTTGAATATAAATAAATAAAAATAAATAAACAATATGTATATACTTCATATCTTTTGCAAGCTGTTAAATATGGTTTTATTGGATCAGAAAATAAAATTCTTAAAAAAGAAAAAAACAAAAACAAATATTTGAACACTATCCTGGCAATAAACAGGATGTATAAACAATCACTCAAGGGACCAGCTATAAATAATTTAAATCATGCATTCCCCTCAGTGCCTCCACCCCTTAAAGCTCCTGGCAATGTTTTGTTTAAATATAGCACTACATTGTTGCCAGGAATATGGTTTTCTAACAATGGTTTGTTAAGATTTACTACATGGAATTCAGACTCCTGCATGAAAATAATTAGTTATTAACAGGTTTTTTTTATGACAACTGGATTCCTTTTAAGAACAGCGTTACTACAAAGGGCCGTACAGTTTTTTTGTTTTGTTTTTTTTTGTTCCAGACCATAAATTTTGCTCATAATGATATCAAAATCAGTAAAAACTGTTAATTCAGTGCTGCTTCTGCTGGCATAATGTGCTATTTATTCAGTGTAAATACAAGAACCAGTGTTTCCTGAAAAGAATTCTCTAGGAAAATGTGAAATTAGCAATTCCATATTTAAAGATGTACCCTTCTTGCTAGTTTAGCACAATACATGTACATTGTACTAGGCATGTATTCTGTAATAAAATGTCCTGTAGATGAATGCATGAAAACAGAGTTAATGAATTTTTATGTTTTCTTTCACAAAGAAGAATCATGTTTAGCAAATACAAATGTACACTGATATCTGCAGCATAAATTGAGCTTGTTCTTGCCAAATTTTCATTTTAAAAAATACCATTCAAAATTTTTAATTGTATTTAATTTTTTTAGATAGAGCCATTGTTCTGTTTTCTTTTTATATATTGGTTATACAAATCACTTCTGAGAATATAGTGTTACTTAGAAACTTTCTTTATCAAATTTTTTCAATGTGAATGGGAATAACAAGTCTGCATACACCAAGAAATAAATTGGACAGGTTTTGCATTTGTAAACATATAGTCTGTAAAATACTGAAAAAATTGTCTTTCAATAAAGACACTTCACAAATCAGTTTAACAAAGTGTAGGGGCTGGGGGTTGGGTAATGATTAAACATGTGTAAGGAAATATAAACTTAGAAAATGCACATTGCTTGTATGTATATGTAACTGCATCAAAAAATCAAGGGAGATAATATAATCATTTCACAACCATAAGTACAACCAAAATTTCTTATTTCACAATAAATCAGTGTTTGAAATAACCCTGCACTGTCCTATCCATGTGAACAAATTTGTTTGTATTGATGCTCAACTGGACGTGTATAAATCTCTGCCTACCATAAAATCACATACCCCATTATATTCATAGAAAGTTTGAAGGTTTGAGGAGGAAATTTGGGCTTATGGGGATTTGATTTTGTGGTTGAAGAAATGCTGAGTTGCTATAACTTTAAGAAATCGTGGTAGACAAGATTTCATGGATCTCTTCATATCACAAAAACAATGAAAATTAACCCCCACAAAAATTACTGACTTCACAGTATGAAAATTTTAATTAATTTGACCAATCATACCATAGGCAAAGTTTAACAATCCAAGGGGGACTGAACTCTTAAATCTTTATAATGGGGATCAAAGTTATGGTGACTAAGTCCAAGTCACAAAATGATTGTTTGTGTTAACATATGTTACACAACTTCTCAGGGTTGCCTGTAGGGGACAATGAAGCAAAAAAAAAAAACAAAAACAAAAAACAAAATATATGACAAGACAAAAGCAAAAAAAAAAATTAATATGGTTTTGCATTTATAATAAAAATAATTTTTTAAATGGCATACCCGTTCTTGGGCTAGTAGGTCTTTGGCAGGGCAGGGCTAGCAGCCAGCCCTGCATGTCTAGCTAATTTTACAGTCATTTTCAAACACTGAATAAATACCATTCTTAGAAAAATGTTTCGTCAATATTTTTCACATTACATGTATTTCAACATACAGCTGTCATTAACTAACATAAGTAACCCCTATTAACAAGTGAGAAAAAAATGCATTGACCTATACTGGATCTGTATAACTCTTGTTCACACAAGACATTGATCCTTAAAACACACACATAATCATGATATCACATGATGATCATGTGACAGACATGATAACAAAAGTATTTGTTCATAGTAGCCTAATAAACAAGACTGCCTGCAATATACATTGCAAAATAATTGAAGAATGTAAACTATGTGTTGGACTCTCATTCCAGATGTTTTTATCCCAATTATGTTATCATTACATTCATCAAAATACATAAATCATGTACCGATAAACATATAAATATTCTTGAATCAGTGCAATCCTCATGAATTTTTATTAGCTAAAAATTCCTAATGAAAAAAATATTATTTACATTGTAGAAGAAATCCAAATTACATCAGCAGCAGCTTGTTCACCTGACATGGGATCACTTGTTGGATTAGGTTTATACTTTCACACACGAAGATGCTATATCAAGGCGAAATGCACACTTTATACAGATACACAAACTTCTAGTTGATGGGTGCTACAAAATAACACACTTGGCAACCTGAAGAACCGATTTTTTACCTCGAGTCCTTCGTTTGCTCGGCTCTAGTCTAATAGTATCTGGATCATCATTTGCACGATTTTTGTGTTTCTTTTTTAGGAGTTTGCCATTAGCTTTGTCTTTAGTTTTCTCAGTTGTGTCTTTCACATGATTGTTAGTTTCAGTGTCTAACAAACCTACAGGGAAGTGTATAATTTCCAATAAATATCAAGTACCACATAAGGTATAATAAAAAGTAAACTGTAAACGATTGGCTGTAAACGATTAGCTGTAAATGACTGGCTGTAAACTAACCTTTACCTATAGAGATCTTTGGTTTATCATCCAGCTCCTCTTCTACCTCACAATTGATTTGCATCAAGTATTTCTCTGTGAGGTACCGAAACACTGAAAATACATATAGGTTTCTTAATGAGGTATAACAGCCAGTATAAGCAGTGAAAATGCAAACTACAATGAGTTTTACAAAATTGTGGGGGTTTGTTTGCTTCTTTCGTTCGTTTTTGTTTTGTCTTTAGAAATATTCAACATAGGATCAAACATCAAAGAATTTCAAAATATTTCTTGCTTGAACAATTTCTTTGAAACAGAGTTCCTAAGAAGTAGGATTTATGGTACATCAATTAAGATGCATACTTTATAACCAATTTTTGGATAATCAGAAATAAATTATGAAGAAAAGAATGACTTGAAATGATTCAACATTTTTACAAAAGCATACATTTAAAGAATGACAAAAAGAAGCAATACCATTCAGACAGTCTAAATATTGATATACCTTCATCCACATTGAGATTGTCTTTAACGGATGTCCTGTAAAATCGAAGGCGGAGTCTGTGGGCAAGAGCCTCTGCTTCTTCCCTGTTGATAAAAATATTCGAAATCACATTACATATGTATACATCATACTCATAATTCTACATATTACATATGTATACATCATATTTATAATTCTTACAGAACCCTCTGTTAAATATTTTCCCCCCGTCTTCTTTCTAATTTTTTATAATTTTGTCACAATCATTAGCAGATATTATAATACATCAAAGCATTACAAAGAAAACATTGCTTTTGGTGGTCTGTAATGACCATGGTACTGTGACTTGAATTTAGTTACTTATAGTTAGATATAACTTACGATTCCACCACAGCATCATCGATCAGATCTATTTTGTTCTGGACTATTACCATTCCTATCTCCCCAACTTCATCTTCAACCTGAAAAAGAAAGAGCACAATTTATTTTTCAAGTCTGATGGTAAAAGTCAAGCATCTGGAGTTATCAAAAAATGGGGAACTCAGCAAAGAATTGTTTCTTATTATAAAGTGAATAAAAAAAAAAAAAAATCATGTAAAATCTTCCCTACTCCTATTTATTTCAATGGGAAAATTTGTATACCTACTGTACCTTAACCATTAGGATTCTGAGGGCAAATTCAGATAAATTTCATTATAAAGAGATGCTTGCATTTTAAAGTTGGCTATGTGTTGGCATGTTCTTGAAAAAATGGAGAAAATTTTAGATGATTTTATATGCAAATCTCTAGACCCATGTTATCTGGCCTGGGGCTTTAATATTATTTATAACATAAATTAAGTAAAGGTCTTTGAAAAATATCAGCTCAGGTGAGCTAAAAAAGTTTGTTCTCTAAGAAGGCCTTATGAGCTTCTAATGAGACCTGAAACATCTTACTTTTTACAAAATTTTAAAAACATTTTACTTTTCTTCTTTATGATTGTGTTTTTCTCATAGAATACTTAAAGTGATAAATTAATCCAAGCATCCTGAATATAACCTATAGGCAGCCAATATTGTTCCTCCATTGAAAATATGTACAGGTATATGTACATGTATTTACTTCAAAATCATTTGCAATCTGAAAGATTATTACTTGTACTAGGAAAAATGAATATAATTAAAATTCTTGGAAAAAAAGGGATAGGGGAATACAATGTGTTGTAGTTCAAAGGATCTATCTTTAATAATTCCTAATGTTCCATTAAATTTACAAGTAAATCCTACAAGCAATATTCTTGGTGTATGTATATAATCATAAAAAATACATCAACAGTCTTGCTGCATTGCATTAAACTTCCAATCCTGCACGTTAAAGCACCATGTATAATTCTCGATTTGAAGTTGACTAACCTATGAACTGTTTTGCATGGCTAGAAGATAAACAGAAGAATTAAAAACAGATACCTTCTTCTTCCATGATTCAATGGCTTCAAATGAATCTCTGTCAACGGTGGAGAATGCTAGCACACAGGCCTGAGCACCTATAAGACAGTTAAATGCTTATTTCACATCATCTATCATGTATGAAAAACATTCATATTTAACATGGGATATTTTTTTTTACTTCACAATCAATATACAAAAATCTATGATGCATTATCCAATTAATGCTGCCATTAAATATGAATAATACATGAACTTTATTCCATAAATATCTCAATTTCCTGTATCTTCACTCTACAGCACTTTGTATATCTTCCTGTATTTTATAAATTTACAATAACTGAACCATTTCTAAAAGGCATAATATAATTCACAGAGCGAAATTTCAATACACTAAATTCATTTTCTTTACAATATATGTATAACAGGATACCATTGTTTCTGTTAAAATGTATGTAATGTCTCTGTTTATGTACATGGTAGATATGACTGCAGCTTTTTCTACAAAAACTGCCAGTAAATGAACGTTCCACTTTCGCGAGACCCGCATGCAACAATATTCTGCACACTTCCTAGTTTTCTTTTGTTTTACTGGAATGTAAATATTAGAAATCCTGGACAAACCTTCACTCCACGCCATTCATTTTCATGAGTAAAGATAAAATAAGACCTGTTTGCAAAGTTTCTGCCCAAATTTGGAATTTTAATTTACAGATTAACATTCTTTTAAATCTTTATCTTGACTTCACCTAACCATTCTTTATTAATGTTCCCTCAAGATGATTTTGAGTTTCACAGTTTTAAGCTCTAGACATCAAAGATCAATATCAAAATGATTTTTTTACCGTTATAAGGCAGTCTGGTCCTTGGTATATTAAACAGAGACAACACGTATTGTCTCCTGTGTGTTAAAGAATGGCAGATAAGATAAACCAAGTGTTTTGTTTAAACATCTGAATTCTGAATGTGAGATTACCTCTAGCAGTCTTACGGATCATTTCTATCTACAATATTGATACTGTATCAAAACAGATATGATCAGATTGTCAGATTTGATATTTTGAGACTTATGTAACCAATAACATTTACTGATCTGATATTTAAAATCGTACATAGCCAATCATACTTGACCATACAAATCTTCCTGAAATACTAGTTTCAAAGTTTCAGACAAAGAATATACATCATATTTATAACCATTCTACTTTAAACTTAATTTGTGAAACATGTATTATTCTAAGAGATTTAACACTCTTCCAATTTCACCAAAACTCTCACTCTTATTGCCGGGAGTGTATGTATTTTCATTGTGATTTAAAAGGCACTGTAAGTAATTATTCTGAGGACATTGTGGCACTTTCTGGCTTCTCATTGTACTTCACAAACAGAAAACAGGAGTACTGAGAATATTCTTAATTATTCTTGCTGAATACTTGAAGGGGCACTTTCTAATCAACAAGAACACTCTATGTCAATATGAAGCCATTTTCACGTCATAAACAGAGAATTCAATTAATACCAAATACTACACGTCTAGGACCTGAAAAGGGACCCTCTGTTTGCTTCTTGTCTTTAATGTGTTTATGGAATGACAAGACATTTTACAATCCACACTTTGTATGTACTATTAGGGTTCCAAGGTATTACAAATGTGTCAATGGGCCTTTCTAGCTGTCATTTATTTGTAAGTTACCTCAAAGCACTTCATATTTCTTCAATAAAAAAAAATGTTTAGTGTGTAAAGGTTACAAAAACTGCTAGGGTGTTATTGTGTGGTTGAAAAATTAATAGTCCAAAATATACAATATCATCAGGAATCTATGATACAGTGCTTAAAGGAGAGCAGTTGATTAGGAATCGGGGTAACAGACTCTTAATATATGGTAAAGAATTAAGGCTAATAAATAGTCTGAAGCATAAAAGTTCATCATATGTACATGTATGTGAAAATGATTCTAAGATATATAAGAATGTGAGGTACCCAGTATAATGATTTATGAGAAACCTGAGGCCTGTTCAACAGAGCAAACGTTCACGAGCGCTCGCCAAAATTCCTTATCTTTCCAACAGAAATGTTCGCGAGCGCTCGCGAACGTTTGCTCTGTTGAACAGGCCTCTGAAATATTATGGGTAAGATTTGACTTAAAATTGAAGTATTCTGGAAGAAGAAAACAGTTAAACAGAAACAGGAATTATAGCTAAAGAAGACCATGACACATAGTTGCTGAAGAAGAGCCTGACATAATTTATTGACTGATTGAAGGAAAATGGTTGAAGCACCAAAAGAGGATGCCCCAAACATATCATTGCTATAAGAAGCAGCATAAGATGCGATACTGTAAAACACTTGTATTATATATCTGACTGTATTGTAAGACAACTTTTTTCACAAAACCACTACAATAATTGTCACTGCAATTGACGTGAACTTTGAGGTATAAAACATTCTCATAAAATTGCAATTTACAGTAGCTGAGGATTAGCCGGTGGAATGAAAAGCTGGAGAGAGACAGCCAGATATATTATTGCTTTATAGGAGAAGCTGCATGGAGATAGAATTATGATTGAAGAGAAGTCTATGCTGTAATTGCTGTAATGGATATTAAGAGACCCTGATGTGTCTGAGGACTGAGTCTGAGTGATAAATATAAGATATGAAGAGGAACAGCTAAGAAATCTGACTTAATGATTGTTAAAGAGACTATGGTATGTTAGATGCAGGGTCAGAGACATGACAGTTGACATAAATCTGGGCAATAATGGCTAATGAGAAATTAGCTGAAATAACACTTATGTATAAGTAACACTGACGCAAACTGCTATTCTGCAGGATTCTTACAAAATTTATCAGCAGCATTTTGGGAAATTCAACTTAATATACCGTTACGTAATTTGTCAGCAATGAATTATAGAATGTACATTGAACTGGGCTATGTATTCACCTCTGTAGTAAGCTTTGGTAATAGCATCAAATTCTTCTTGTCCTGCAGTATCCCACAGCATAAGGCGGACTTCCTCTCCATTCACTCTGAGAATAAAAGGCATACATATATATATTTCAATATTTCTAATAAAATGTAAAGTGCTCAAATTGCTTTGTGTGTTCATACACCATTATATAACTCAAAAAATGAAATAACTAATGTATTTGATAATGGAATGCTCTGCAAAATTGAAAGAGTGAAGAAAAAAGAAAATGCAAATAATAAGCCAGGTGTTTTTAATGCAGAGTTTGAAAAATTAAACAAAAAAAGGTTTCAAGAATATTTTCAACATGAATACATCATGTATTGAAAAAATCTTCCCATAATCTCAGCTACCCAAAATTTCAATTTCCTTTTTCAAAAACAGACTTCAAAACCCCGGGAATTGGTCTTGCATAATAGTTTCAAAGGTGAAAAATATCATTAACACAATGATAGAGCTCAATAATAAGGTCTTCAATCATTTTACAATTTGAAGCTTATTACACATTCACAATCATGTTTTGAGCAAATAAAAATGAGAAATAGAATGCATATCTATGATGCATTATCATGTGGTAATGCACTGAGGGGGTGAAAAATTGGGAGGAGTCAGTCTAACTTTCATTAACAGTTTGACCCATCCATCAACTTCATCTACAAAATGAAAAAGTTTGAAATGAAGTTTAGAGAAATGATCACATTACCATAATTACCGAGATGATAATTTATCAGACTGTATGATACTACGTTGTTTACAGTGAGTTTAAAGAGGTTCAACACAAAACTGTACTTAATAAGCAAGCTAGACTATAATGAAAATGATTTCCTTAAATCTCGTACTTGATGGTATTTAAGAGAGGAAGATTTAAAACAAACACTGTTTATAGAATATTGCAATTGAAGCCAATTCATCTTTGAATTATCCTCTCATCTGTCAGACTTAACCAACTGCTATTACATCAAATTTTAAAGTAGGTGCTTAATAAACATTACATTTGTCCTTGATAACAAAGCCAATGACCTTGACCTAAGAAATCAGACCTTTTTCAATGAGATTAGACTTTTGGTCTACATAAGATTATATCAATGATTTCAAACATATATTTGATTTTTTTTTTCTTTTTAAAGCAAATTTCAAGTTTTTGCAAATCATAAAAAGTTAAAGTTCCTTCCTTACTCTATTTGCCTCTCTAGGAAGTCCACACCAATTGTCTTCTTGTAGTCCTTGGTGAAGATCCCTTTGCAGTACCTTTGGATCATGCTGGACTTTCCCACCGCCCCATTGCCCACCACCACTACTTTAATGGCCGTCTCGATTTCTTCTTCTCTCATTATTTTTGCATTGTTCACAATAAATTAAAAAGTAATCACTGCATAATTTCCAATTAAAAACACATTAACTTGGTTTACATTGCACTTCGGGTTTTAAGAGGGTATTTTTTTTTCACGTCACATAATTTTCCTCCTTATGTCTCATCGAGGGCCATTATGCACCAAGAATCCACTGGTGTAATGTTTGCTCTGTGGAGAAGAATTCTTGAAGGATCTGTTCATTAGCTTTCATATCCACATGGTCCTGTAAGCATAAAATGCAAACCTGATGGATTTAAAGATTAATTCACAATGGTGGGGCATATAGGAAGTTGTAAATAGCATCAAAAGCATTATAACAAAGCCATCTGGTTCAATCAAGCACCTTTAAAACTTCTAAACCCGGCATGTTTTTCTTTCATTGTTTACCAGGAACGGTAGGCGATAAATCATTCTTATTAAAAATCAAACAATCGTAATACAAGGATCAAACACTTAATTCAATTCAATCATGACTCTCTTACAATTGAAAGCTGCAAAAACAACCCCAGAAAAAAATGAAGTTATAAGATTATGATACATATGGCAAAGTTCTTAATGCATTTATTGCATGCTGAAAAATCCTTCAAAATTTTGAGAAAAACTGCATACTTTCTCATGGTCATAAACAAACATTACCTTTGTCAATTGTTTAAACTCTCCAAGTATTTCAATCATTTCTTTATAATGACAAGGTCTATTGACGCTATAAGCATTTTGAATCTTTTTTTGTGATAAAAACATACAAGCAGTGGCCTGTTAGAAAAAATTTCAATAAAAGGAATATTAAAACCACTATAATAGAATCCCAAGAAGCATCAATAGGATTAGAATTACCTAATTATATACAAGCTTACTCCCACCAAACAACACTTAGGTCAAGACAATAGGGTGTTCATATTACTTAATGACATAGGTATCAAATTAAAGAAAAAATTCAGTCCTCAGAAGTCTTATTCATGGCAGGGAACCCCTGACAAATTCACATGGACCTCAATTTGTAATTACAAAGGAATATGAATTGCACTAATGCATTTTTACAAATTAAATATAAATGCTTTCACTCTAATCAAACAATTTTTGATATACTATTACAAATAGGGACCCTCCCTTTTAAAAAAAAGTCCACTTACCAAACAGAATTTGACGACTTTAAATCCGCATTTCCCTTTAATCCTCTTAATGAATTAATCTCGATTAATTATGCAATGTGAAAGAAATCTAATAATCAATTGGAAGAAAAATCCTTTGATTTCTGATTGAGGAGTAAATAATAAAGTCATTCCATGTAAATCATTTACATTACTTTTCTCTCCTGAAAATCATACAAGCTCAAATCTGTGAAATCATGCATAACAAAAATAGCAATATACACAGGAACAGACATAAATGGGGCCATAAAATAACCAAGCCCTATCATGGTCGTAAAGACCACTGTCTGAAGTCAGATTTACGACTCTCAGGCTGTCCATCTTACAATCGGTTAGCTAAACAAAAACACTTATGTCTGGCACCTCGTAAATTACTGTTTAATGTTCTATGAATTTGATAATGGATTCACATTACTCTATATCAAAGAACAAGTGTACCACAAAAATTCCATATATATAGCTATAAATCAGGGCAAAAATATATTAAACTTTACCATGCAACAGTTAAAATTATATATTAAATGTTGAAAAAAAAATTAAAATATTAAAGTTTTGTTTCATCAAATAAATAGGGTTTTCTTGGTTTTATATTTGCTGATCTTAAACAGAATATTTTCAAGAACTTTTGGTAATTCTATACACACTTAAAAACCGATTTTTATGAATTTTTTTTTCTTTTTTTAAATTTTCCTTTACAAATTCTAATTCCTTAAGAAAGAAACAAATGAAATCCTTCTGACATACTTGATGAGTTGACAAAAACTGGTAATGTTTTAATCACCAAACATCACAAATTTACGGTCACACAAACACTCAGTAGATTAGGATCAGCTCTTTGTCCTTTTCCTCCTTGCACAACCAAGAAATGTGGATTCCAATGGCAATAATACAACCCTTTTAAAGAATGGAAAATGAATAAACTGGCTTTACAAGGTTTAACAAACCAGATACCAGGCATGATCTCATGCCATCCATCATCTACAAAGTTCATATTGATCTGCTGCCAATTAAATGAAGTTTTAGCACAACAAACTAACATCAATGAACTTTTCAAAATCTTTAAACTTCTACCTTAATTTACACACTACCTATATATCTCTAAATAACATGTAATGTTTATGAAGTTCAACATTACAAACCCTTTGAAGTTTATTTTGTTTTATCATTCTGAATTATGGTATTGAATATTACATGTATTATATGACACAAACTAAGTAATGAAATATATAATTTGACAACCAAATTCTCTGCATGATCAAACATACTAAATTTAAATGGAATTCTGCAGTTTATCTAAACCTAATGTGACATTAGTCACTTGCATCAGGGATTAAAAAAACTTCATTCCCTTCAAGTACCTCACAAGCACCTCTGGTATTTCAGACAGTTTAAGCTTTACAAAGATGATTTTAGTGGTTGAAAGTACATTGTACTTATGTGCATCTATAGAACATTTAAAGAGAAATTGAGAATGGATTGTAACACAAGTTCAAAGAGTGATGAAGAAGTTCTTATTTTTAATACATGGACTTAATAAAATTAATAACATGTCTGAACAGCAGATAGTCTGGAATTTAACAATTCAAAATATTCCACATTAATTTCAAGGCTTTAGACAACATTATTATTTTAACATTGTAAATATCTGATTAAATGACATTGCCTTAAAAGATACAACAGGCAATGTGATGTATTGTGAACTTATATGGTCATAAAGTTAATTAAAAACTACCCAAACAATCCTTCAGTCTCCAGAGAAAAGGACTGAGAGAAGGGACCACACTTCATTAACCCTGTACCCTGTGTGTCTCCATTGTTTACAGACATACCCGGGAGATGTATCTACATTACATAGTCAAAGTAAGTAACTTGTCAACAATCTCCACAGGCCACAAAAGTAAAATGAACTCAGTCCCTGATAAACAATGATAAAACTGCCTCAATACCCCCAATAATACACTTATCTTGTTTACTTTTCATGTGAATTGACACAGAAAATTTAATTACTAACAATTACTCTCACATTCCATTAATTTGTCTTTCCATGGTCCTTATCCATTTTCAGGATTGTAATATAGCCTGTCCAACTGTGTGTATTCTTGATCAATTTAGTCCCCTCCACATATCAAATCCAAGATAAATTGGTACCATATATATTTCACCAAGAATCACCCATGTGACTTTCAGATCTAGTCCAGAATAGTTTTGGGAAGTGCAGTTTTCAATTATTTATCAATTTGATGGGAAATCAATGAATTATGCATTTAAATGTCCCAAAAAGGGTGCCAAAAATGTACTTTCTATAAATGTTAATTAAAGGAACTTTTAATGAAATTTCCAATATGTATTAAATTACATATTTTGCTCCATAGACTATTTTTCCAATTCATACAAAAGCATATATATGTAATGAGGTTTGGAGGACGTCAGTTAAATTTGAGTTCCTGTATCAAGTTTCCATGATCTAATCCATAATTAATATTGTTGACAGTCTTTCTATACTGAAAGCACAAAAGACTCTCATCAGAACAGTCATTCCATTCCTATGTCAATTTTGATAGCAATTAGTCTTTTTTAAAAATTAAATATCTTGATTGTATATCATGTAAAAAAAAAACGGGGAAAGCATTTCAACCAAATCACAGGTCAGTGAACCATGTCTTTCGATATTGATCAGTTCAAAGTTACTGTAGTTTCTGTCAATTAACAAACAGGTGAACACAAAAAATATAATTATTGGTGCATATGTTCCTGGCCTGTTAGGACCTTAAATCTATTGTGTTAAATGCATTAATTGTGACTGTCATGTTTTCTGACTCATATCATTTATTGCCTCCTATGATGTATATGTAATTTTAATATCTCATTCTTGAGGGAAAAAATATTAGTCTTACAGAGTGTGAGTAAAATAGAAAAAAATCATTATCATACAAAATACAGTATTACAGATTTAATGACTGATACCACAAAAGATTCAAGCATCCTGAAGATTAATGAAAATTAGAATTCTTCCAAAAAATGGTAATATACCATCAGAGTAACTAGATAACCAAAGACTAAAGTGAATTTTGGAAAGAGCAATTGCTTTTCAGTTCTCAGAAAAGTATCTGCACTACTTTTCAACTTGAAATAAATCTACCATTCAGAAATGACAGTCCTTCCACTATGCATCTGTATAATACACATCTAAAACAACCATCAACCATGAAGAAGGCAATTTCATTTTTAATAGACAAAAATGCAGCCAATTCAATGAAAACAAAAGTTGGCTGCTGATGCCATTCTTAATGTATTTCTTTTTCCAACAAAGATAGTGTTAAATCTAAAGCAAACTAGCATGGCGCGGCGCCATGCCCTTTTTTCTCGGCGCCATGCCCTTTTTTCCAGCGCCATGCCCTTTTTTCCTTGCAAAAATAAGTAAATATGCCTAGCAGAGGCAAGATGGACTAGTGGCTTTGTTTATTCAGTGTATGCTGATTAGCCCCTTTGTTTATTTAATGCACGCAAAGGTGTGAATTCAGGACAGGAAATCACTTCTCGCTTGAACGCACACAGCCACCTGGCCAGGTAACATGCCTCAGGCTGTTAGGGTATATAAGAGATAACACGAGAAAATATCATTTGATTGCATTGATTATGCAAGAATTAGCCCAATGTCACAGATAGATTAATTTGTAAATTAAAATGTTACACATTTTAAATCAGGATCGTTTTTTTTTTAAATTGAAAGTAGAAAAAACAGAGTTGATGAAGAAATGTGAAAAATAAAACTGCTGATGAATTAAGACAACTTACAATGTACAGTACCAAAAAAACTGAATATTATATGTGTGAAATGGGCTAGGAAACAACAAAGTATGAAGTTAGTTTCTTTCAACATGTTCAATGATTCTGTGTTCTAACTTTTTGAGTTGACACCCAGAGGCTCAATGTTTCTAAGCCAGAAAAAAAAAGTTTTAACCAATTTATATATTATTTCAAGTTTAATTTTTTGGTATGATCAGTTTTCACTTGATTTTGTTGGTAGATTATTTTCAAAATAAAGAGAATGCCCTCTACATTTATTATCCAAGTAGCCCCCCCCCCCTTTTGCAATTTTGTTCTGTTATTTACCTCATATACAAATAACAATATTAAAGTTAAGGAAAAAAATTCATACCCCAAACTAAAATAATTTTTGAGCAAGTGACAAAAAGATTTACACCTATTACTTTTTAAGCATAACCTTGATAACCATACTAATTTCTTGATTAAATAATTTGAATTTAAATTTTGGCAATAATTGCCCTCTCAGTGTGAATTAAATGAATTAAGCTGACAGATTTATAAATTTTTCTTTTAGATACTTGTATAACTAAAGATTTCAGTATTAAAATAATAATTTAAGTACATAAACATGATAAAGGAAATATTTATAATTTCAAAGAAGTTAAAAAAGTGCCCTCATGAAAATTTGTCGCGGCATAAAGTGCCCTTTTGATAATTGGATTACCATGCCCTTTTTAGGGTCTGGATTTAACACTAAAAGACTTACTAAAATTTCCATACTGAAAATGCTGAATACAAAGGCATCACTACAAATAGCTATTACACAGTCCTATAAACCCATTATCATGAACATGATTGATGTTAAAATAATGACAGAAAAAATCAATAAAAAACAATGACATATAGAAAAAAGTATTCTTCTGTTAGTAAAAAAAAATGTACCTTAATTATTTTCTGATTTTCAATGATTTTTTCTGATTAACATTGGGTAGCAATACTTAGTGACACAGCTGACAGCATTTTTTCCCCCTAGGGGGTGGGGATGGGTAATACTACCTTATATTTATGGTTAAAATTAAAGCTGAACTTTGACAGGATTTTCAATGTGATTAAATTTCAAACAAATTTCTAGATGAAGATCAATATAACGTCATATTCTTTTGTCTGAATTGCTGTAAATTCAGGAAAAACATAATGGCATTATATTTAAAAGCCCGTTTTAAAAGGGGGATCAGACAGAACGTTAGGCTGAAAACGTGCATTGTACATGTTAACTACGCCCAAAGCTTTAGAGGGTATTTTTCAATCTTTCAAATTACTATGACAATTATTATATAGATCTACGTATATATTTGGTAACGTAAAAATAAGTTGAACACGGGTAGCATTTGGTTTTCGATGCGTCATGTGTACGCCATACAATACCTTCCAGTGAAATATCCTTGGTGTTAATATATATGAACAAAATTGTTTAGTTCCAAGAAAATTATGAAACAGTTAATTATTCCAGATAATATTTTGAAATCAAGTGGAGACTGGAGGATTACCTTCTGAAACGCTGTTCCCACCGAAGCTATTTACTGCGGAACTATAAGCACTGATAACAAGGTGTGGGTAAAAGTAGAACCCTTTGTTCCGAATATACACAGTCATTCGATGAAAGAAAACGATTTTGATGAACAAATTATCCGATTTTATAATATTGTTTGAATTTCTTATCTAATGATATGAGGCACATTGGCCACGCGGCCCCGCTGAGTCACAAGATTTCTGAAAAGGGGTGGGGTTTGGGAGGGGGTTGCTCATTAATGCTTGAATTTAAAAAAGGGGGGTCTGTTTCCCGAAGAAGAAAAAAAAACTACAGATTGACAAATCTTGAAATCTTTCTAAAGACAGGAGTGAAATAAAAAGTCAAGGTTAAAAAAAGGGAGTCAAAATTGATCCAATTTATGGCGAAAAAAGTAATTTTGTGAAAGAAGGGATGCAGATCGATCATAAAAAACACTGGCTTTGTAAAAAGAAAGCTTTAATTTAGGATAGATATCTTCGCTAGCCAATTTGGGTTTCATTTGTGACCCCCCATCGCTCCTAAAAATGGGGAGCGGTGTGGATCACAAATCCTTGGCAGGCGAAGATGTAGG